TCAGCGAAAGCTTAAGGTTCGACATCGAATTTCTGCCCCCCCTGCTCTGAAGTTTGAATTTTGATCCAACGAAACTTCCTCCGCTGTCCCCTATTTGCCCATCCCGCACAAGAAGAAGGTGCCTAGGAGCCAAGACCCTTGCACGTCCTTGTACATCGAAGGGCGACGACTGCCTGGCGCAAGCGCCAAACGAGAATAAGTCATAATACACTGTTCGAGTTAACCTCATAGGAAAATTTCGGAGAACCAATGGATGCGGGCCGGTTAGCAGAGGAGGATCTCTTCCTTAGCAACTCCTTGAGACAACAGTTATGCTGGCGTGATGGCAACGACGCCACCGTATTGAGAGCACCAGGTACACTTTCCGAGGCGTTCACCCTTGAAGGATTATTACAAACAACATCTATCACTGCCTATTTCAGATGGACACTCCTCCAGCACCGCGTTCACCTACATTCCTACTATCCACAGTGTGGGCATAAATGCCCTAAATCCTACGCACGATCCAATCTACCGCGGCAGCCTTCCAGCTCGTGGAGATCATATCTCTGGCAGAGAAGTTGGACCGATTCAACCACCAAAACGCGACGAAGACATGTGGCTGCAAGTTTGTCGCTATGGGGAGGGAATCGCTCTGGNATTCAACCACCAAAACGCGACGAAGACATGTGGCTGCAAGTTTGTCGCTATGGGGAGGGAATCGCTCTGGAGGATCTTGCTGACTACATAATGGATCAGCGGCCGCCTCATCCTTACGGCAGGCAACCCAACGAAACAGTGCCGAAGGGGCGAATCGCCTTTGGGCAGGAATATCCATTCAGGAGAGGACCATTCTGGGTTGTCGTGGATCCTTGTGTGGCCGTTGCTACGATTGACAAGATTCTCAAGCTTCATTTGTTGCATTGCAACACCTCCAAATGCGAAGTGGAGGCTCTCGTGGACTACTACATCAGAAGCTGTGTCGACGAACGAAAGTTGTCTCTACCTTATCTGCCAAATTTTGAACGCGGACTGCTGTGTTTTTGGGAACCCAAGCAGAAGTATTTGTAGAGCTCAAGTCATGACGGCCCTAAATAATCACTACTCCTTAAGGGGATTCGCCAGCGATAAACAAGCACCTGTTGCTCAAGGCCTTTGTTCCTTAGCCTCTACTTGTTCGTGAACCAGACGCGCACCTCGGAGAAGTGACTTCTCAACTGCATGCATCACATTCGTGCAACTGCACATACAGTGGAGGCGGCTGGTGCTGGGTTTGCCGTGACATCAGAAAAAGATGTAGGGACAGCCCGGCGGAGGTGCATGCAGGGGCGCAAGCGAAGCTAGATGATTATTCTTTGCAAGGGCGAGTATTTCACTCCCTTCAGATGCCAACAACTAGAATATCAGCAAGTTGTACGCTTAAACCTTGCTAACCATGGAAAACCGGGCGACGAATGAGGGAGTCTCAATTATCTGAAGCCCTGAATATGCGAGCTCGGAGGATATATATGCTGAAGAGTTCAGAGAAAGTGATCTACGAACAGCTGCTCTCTGGCGGATTCTATTCTACTGAAGTGCTGATCGTGCGAGCAAACCCGTGGATTGCAACATATTTACATTGGTAGACGTTTAGACGAGTAGGAGGCAGCCGACATGCCACAGTAGAGCTTCAGTTCTTCTTGTATGATTCACCCACTTCGCAGAAAGCTTCTTAAGGACCTAAAATGGGTGGTTCGGCTAACGTTACTTATACCGACACAATTTATGGCCACAAACAAGTGCAACAACCACTTGAATCTCAGCATTTGGTAGTGCAGAGAAGTAGCACCTGCGAACACGAAAGCGTTCCCTGTCTCGGTTTCAAAGAGCAAAGGAGAACCAAATAACTAAACACTGACTTATACTTTGAAGCATCATCGCTTTTTCCGAGACCGCGGAACTGATATTCAAGAAAAATGGCGACTACACTGTCGGCCTAATAGAAGCACGAACAAATGACCATATTTTACAGGGTTACGAGTCGTAGGCTCCAGAAAACGATGTATTTTGTGCAAAAATCATTATTTAACAAGCGAAAGCTTTCGCAAAATTATGATTACTGGGGGACGAAACCTCTCGTTGCGTTGCTCACTTTCAGGCAGGCGGTAGTTTCTGTTAACAGGCGGCGCCACTGGGAATTGACTCGGGTGTCAAAATAGATGGCGGATACAAGTCGTCGAAATGCAAAAATTAATTAGTTTCGGTTTTGAAAATTTAAATCGAGATTTCGCTTATCCTGGTGTCGCCCTCACTCCCCTTATTGCCTGCGAAGATCTGTTGGCGGGTTTCTAGTCGTCGCCAATCCACTTCTGGATCGACGTCTTGACGACCGAATGAGAGCCCTACGTAAAGGCCTTTCTTGGCATTATAAGCATAAACACTGTCTTATTTTACCTTTGTTTCACTGGTGTCACTGTTTTCTTTGAGTTTTTTCTCATTTTCAAACTAGCCCAACCCCACCCCGGGCGGACGTGGTGACCTGGCTGTAACGGGTCGCCCAGCCGAATCGACAGAGCCACCGAGCAGCATCGGGCGACTGACGGCAAGCCTGAGAATCCTTCATATTTATTTGTATTTTTGTTGCTTTTTTAGAGGAATGAAAAACGTTTGAGCTGCTGAAAGTGTGCGTGGAAGTAGGATTCTTCTCTGCCGGATCTGGTGACGCGACAACAAACGCCACTGGACACGCTTGGCGAGTTGTAGTAGTTGCGCCGAGGCAAGCAACCAGCTCAGGTTGACTCTCTTTTGCGAAACAGAACTCTCCTTCTCCCTGAGCGATACCTTAGTTTATGTCCCTGCCTCCACTATTTTGACCGCATTGTATTGCAAGTATAGACGACTGCTGCAATTTCCGCAGTGAGAGGCGGGTGGCCCCAGCGTCGCAGTGAGAGCAGCCCGACAAACCTACCGTACGGGAAGGCAGAGCTGTTTTCCTCCGATTTCAGGGGGAGAGGCGTCAAAACCTTTGATTTATCAACGACGCGCTCTGGTGCCCCCTCGAAGGCCGTCGGTATCTCTGATTTTTCAATTCTGTTCCTTCTAAGTGCACAAGATGGATTGCAGACAGTGGAATTGTTTCTCAGCAGCCCTGGACCCAGCAGTGGATGCTCTCGCCACGCATAGTCCCTCCCTTGCGACTTCTGGGGCTCGCATGGCTGCCGAGCAAGAAGAAAGAGAGCTGGGCGCCCCTTCCCCGTCCCCTACTGAGGACAAGGAGATAACATACTTTCCAACGGGTAAGGCGGTGCTTGCATCTGGAGCTGACTGGGAACTGCGAGCTTCTGGGGATACATCAGTCGTTACTCTGTCGACTCGTCTCCGTCAGTGCCTCTGTATTGATCGGGAGCGCATGGAGATGTTTCGGATTGTTTTTGAAGAGGAACGGGAAGAACTCGAAAGGTACTTGGAGTATATGGAAAGCCGCCTGCTGTTGTACCCAGCGCAGTGCATGCAGACGCTTCCCATGATGCAATCTTTCATTGATGAACTCAAAGCGGAGATAACAGAAGCGCATTCCAGTCTGCAAACCGTGGAGGGCATCGCGATAGACGTGAAGGAGCTCACAGGACAGCTAACCAAAGAATATGACAATCTTTTTTCTGAATTGCGTTCGCTTGAGCAAGGGGAATCTCCTGTTTGCCAGCAACCTGAGGTCAGAAACAGCCACATGCCGAGGGAGGCCGACAATGGAACTGCAGGGGATCTCGAAAGGATAGCGCGCCTTCAAGTCGTTGAAGAAGCGGTTTCTGCGAAGGAGATAGAGCATCGGATGCAGCTGACTATTTCTTTCACAGAAAACAAAAGAAAGGAACTTGTCGAAGTCGGAAACTCTGTCTTTCCTAGCAGCCTGAATGCTCTCGCACCGCTATGGGCCCAGCTGTTTCCAACGGCCCCAGAACAGCCAGCAGCTCCTCCTCCTACCCCTAACACTGAAAACGAGGGTTCTGTTTTCTCAGAGCAAGTGTCCGCGGTTGGGGAACCTCAACAAGTGCCTTTCTTGCAACCATCGGCTCCATCTTTTCCTCAGCAACCTGAAGTGAGTGCAGAAGTATCTATGGAGAATCCAACCGCTGTCGAGTCGCGGGCTTCTAATCTTGCTTTTGTTGCCCCAGTGGAAGCTCCGGGACCTGTTTCGGAACTTCCAGGGACCTTAGTTCCAAGAAGGCCGCACGAAATCCGACGTGGGCGTTCTCGCTATCGCCGGATGAACCCACTGGTGAATCGGAGGGCTACAGAAAGCTGCTGCCACGGCGACCCGACCTTTGTCTATTCTGCTGACGAAAGAAGCCCTTCGAGATCCTCCAATTCCATCTGTTCCGTTGAAAAAGAAGAAGAGCCGTTGAAGCTGCTCCGCTGCAACTCCTCACCTCACGGAAGTGCGGCTACAAGCAGCAGCCTGGACCTGCTTAGCAGCACAAATGACACGGCGGACGGATGAGGAGCTCCTACTACAACAGATTCAGGAAGTGAATGTGCAGCAAGCGCACGCATTGGTGGCAATAAAAATCCTTCTTTTGTATTTGTTTTCAATAGCTCCGCAACCCCTGCAGAGGCACTACGCCCACGACGACGGGATATACTGAATCCCGTGTTTTCCGAATGAGAAAACACAAAAAGGCGGAAAATACAAACTGCTGCAGCCGACGAAGCACAGCACACACACCCGCTGCTGCTCCCGACGGGAGATACTCGTTCAGCGGTAAGCTATGGGGTGCTTACTGTCGCTGCGGTTGTTTGGAAGGATGTCGAAAAGAAGCTTCAGATATTTGAGGATATTTGAGCTCCGCTAAACGTGCGCAGATGATCTTTTAACAGAGGAAATTGCAAACGGGAGATCCGCTACCCCCGTATATATATATATATATATATA